CGGGATCCGCACCTGGGCCGCCAGTAGCGGAGCACGTACACTTAACCACTAAGCCACGGGGCCGGCCCTGAGAACACTGAATCTTAACCACTAGACCACCAGGGCTGGCTAAGGATGTACTATTATCATTTTGTTAATTGTTTTCTGTTTTGTAGATCCTTTGTTCATTGCTTCCTCTCTTGCTGTCTTCCCCTGTGATTTGATGACTTTGGGCAACATCACGCTTTGACTCCTTTATCATAATTTTTTGTCTATCTACCTCATGTTTTTCCTTTGTGGTTACCGTGAGGCTTTCATAAAATATCTGCTGATATTCATAACATCCTATTTTAAGCTAATAACAACTTAAATTCAATAGCATACAGAAACTTTCTACTTATACTTCTCCCTCTTTCACATTTTAGGTTATTGATGATACAATTTACATCTTTTTTATACTGTGTATCCAATAACAAATTATTGTAGTTTTAGTTATGTTTAATACATTTGCTTTTTAACTTTTAAACTATAGTTGTAAGTGAATTACAAATCACCCTTACAATATTAGAGAATCTGACTTTGACTATATATTTACTATTACCAGTGAGTCTTACACATTCATATGTTTTTATGATTTTAGTTAGTACCCTTTTATTTCAGCTTGAAAAATACCCTTTAGGATTTCTTGTAAGGCAAATGTAGTGGTGATGAACTCCCTCAGCTCTTGTTTTTTTGGGAAAATTTTTCTCTCTCCTTCGTTTTTGAAGGACAGCTTTACCAGGTATAGTATTCTTGGTTGACAGTTTTTTTCTTTCAATATTTTGAACATCATATCATCCCACTCCCTCCTGTTCTGCAAAGTTTCTGGTGATAAATCTGCACATAGTGTTATAGGGGCTCCCTTGTACGGGATGAGTCTCTTTTCTCTTGATTCTTTCAGGATTCTCTCTTCGTTTTTGACTTTGACAAGTTACTGAATCATAATATGTCTCAGTGTAGCCCTTTTTGCAATTCAATCTATTTGGGGTTTTGGGGCTTCATGAATCTGAACGTCCATTTCTCTTCCCAAGTTTGGAAAGCTTTCAGCCATTACTGCTTTACATAGACTTTCTCTGCTTTGTCTTCCTCTTCTCCTTTTGGGAACCCCATAATGCATATATTGTTTCCTTTGATGGTGTCCCATAAGGCCCATAGGTATCTCCACTCTTTTTCATTCTTTTTTATGCTCCTCTGACTGGATAATTTCAAATGATTTATCTTCGAGTTCACTGATTCTTTCTTCTGCTTGGTCAAGTCTGTTGTTGAAGCTGTCTATTGAATTTTCTAGTTCAATCATTGTATTCTTCAGCGCTAGGATTTCTGCTTGCTTTTTTTTTTTTTTTGATGGTTTCTATTTTTTTGTGGTTGAACTTCTCATTTTCTTCATGCATTGTTTTTCCTAATGTCACTTAGTTGTCTGTCTGTGTTCTTGTAATTCACTGAATTTTTTAAGAGGATTATTCTGAATTCTTTGTCAGATGGTTCATAGTTCTTCATTTCTTTAGAGTCAGTTATTGGAGCTTTATTAGTTTCCTTTGGTGCTGTCATGTTTACATGATTTTCTGTGATATATGATTCCTTGCATTGGTATCTGCACATTTGGGTAAGCTATCTTCTTTTCCAGAATTTACAGGTTCACTTTGGCAAAGACCTTCACCAGTCAGCTTGCTTGGGGTACTGGATGGGTCAGCTGGTAGCAACCATGAGCAGGTGGGTCTTGTTATCAAGGTCTCTAGTTGGGTGAGGCCATTGCCCTTGCTCTGAGGCCAGGAAGGGTGATGCTGGCCAGGCTCCACATTTGGGTGGGACTGCTGGTTGGGCTCCACATTCAAGCAGTGCCACTGGTGGGCTTCCTAGTTGGGTAAGACTGCTGGCTGTGCTTTGCAGTCAGGTAGGGCCACTAGCAGGTCTCTGCAATCACCTTGATTGGGTGAGGTCACAGGCTGTGTTCCCTGACAAAGTGGTGCCACTGGTTGGACTCTGCCATTGGGCAGGGGTACAGGCTGGACTCCACAATCACTTCTGGTTAGGTGGAGTCTCAGGCTATCCATTCATGCTCCCCTACCAGATGGTGCCACTGGCTGGACTCTGTGTTTAGGAATAGCTACAGGCAGGACTTCATGGCCAGACAGGGCCTCTGGCTGTGCTCTGATCAATCTGGGCTGCAGGCTGTGTTCCAAAGTTGGGTGGGGCTGTAGGATGGGCTCCACTGCTGGCCAGCTTCTCTGGCCAGGATTCTTGGTCAGGCGGGACTAGAGGCTATACTCAGCAGTTGGATAGGACTGCCAATTTGCCTCCCTGCCCAGGAAGGGCTATAAAAGGGCTCTACAGCCCATGTGGCTCATTTGCTGGGGACTCAAATCAGGCAGACCTGCCAACCAAGCCTCCTGGCCAGACATGGCCACCAGCTCAGCTCTACAGATGAGCAGAGCCACTGGCTAGGATCTCTGCTCAGTCACCACTGCAAGTAGGAAGGTAGTCTGCCTACAGCTAAGCACTGGTTGTAGTAAGCCCTTCTCCCCTTCTTTGTCTCTACCTGTCCCACAGTGGTCGAGCCCTGCAGATTTCACCAGTGATCCCTGTCAGATGAGACTGAAGTGGGCCTCCTAGGAAGTGTCCCATGACACTGGTGAAGCTGGATGTCCATCTTCTGCTCTTTTTTTCCCCAGGGAGAAACTGTAAGCCCAGAGGGTCCCTCTCAGTGCAGCACTTTACCAACCTGGGAGACGGACTATGCAATCAGAGTGTAGCTGCTCCTCTTACCCTTCTAATGCAGTCCTTCTTGGTCTCTGTGGCCCAGGTGAGGCTTCAACCTCATCCCTGGTTCTGGGATCTTCACAATGCTGTCTTGTCTATGGATAGTTGCTAGTTGGTCTTCTCATGAGGGGAACTGAAGTCAGGAATGACCTATGTCACCATCCTGATGACATCACTCCTCTAGGCTTGCAATTAATAAATTGATTCAGGGCCCTAAATCTCAATGCTTATAGTGGGCTTATTGGAAAAAATCTCCCCCCTTGTTGGACAGGCCAGTGAATCTAGTGACTAGAGGAGTATCCCCATATTATATATTTAAGAAATGCAGGGTAGGGGGCTGGCCTGGTGGCACAAGTGGTTAAGTGTGCGTGCTCCACTGCAGTGGCCCAGGGTTCACCGGTTCGGATCCCAGGCGCGAACCGATGCACCACTTGTCAAGCCATGCTGTGGCAGCGTCCCATGTAGGGTGGAGGAAGATGGGCACGGATATTAGCCCAGGGCCGGTCTTCCTCAGCAAAAAGAGGAGGATTGGCAGATGTTAGCTCAGGGCTGATCTTCCTCACACAAAAAAAAGAAATGCAGGGTAAAACTACTTCAGGTGGGCAATTGTTTCTCTCATCTTATATCTGTATGACTATTCACTTAGCAGCTACAAGCCTGTTTTATCTCCAGCCATGTATCTCTAATCTGCTGCCACTCAGTTTAGCACTGACACTGCTCAGGGTGGAATCAATACATTAATGAAAAGAATGGTTACCAGATGCAACTGAACAATGGGAGTTCTTGTCCAACCCCAGCTCATTTGACAATATTCATGCTTTCCTTTAGGCCCTTTGAAATGGACCTAATCTTGTGCTGCATTAGTACACAAATGCAGAGGATGCTGAACCTATCATGGATGTACAGCATTTTTCTCAAATTTGTAAATGGCAATAATGAAATGCAAGCAAATACATTGGATGGCAGCCTCAGGATCCAAGAGATCTGATAATGAGCAAATTTGAGCACATCGGCAACCAGGATGGTTCTCCACGCATGTAACTTGGCTCCAAAGGATTTGAGAAATGTCATCAGGAGAAGACTTAAAGGTATGGGAGCAGGCACATAATAGCTGAATTCAAATACTGGAGAAGGGATTAACTATGCTGTATGAGTTTCCAGCATACAGTCCTAATACTATTAAATAGAAGCTACATGGAGGCAGGTTTGGGCGCAGTGTAAGCAGCAGGTCACTGCAAGAGGCTGAGTAACTATTGGACAATTATTTCAAGCAAGAGGTAACTAATGGTGACCAACATGGCTATTGCAATTCTCAAATCCTCTGGCTAGACTAAGCCCTATAATAGTGTCACCTCATTGACACTTGATCAGTTGTCCCACCTATTGTTTTGCTTGTGAAAGTTTATGCTCTAGCAAAGAAAACAGCCTCCACTTCTTGTGGTTATTTAAATACATAAGCCATTAGATAGGGGGTGGTAAGATGATACTTGATGTTTCAAATAGGCACAAATAGCATAATCCATTTTGTAGGAAAAGATATGAATATTAATAGACCACAGTCTGGATGGTTATACACCCAAATGCTAACACTTCTAATTGGTGGAATTATAGGTGATTGATTTTTATAAACTGAAAGTGATAAAAGTACTATTTAAGGGCAAAGATTGAGACACTCCCATTTATATGTTTTCCTTGTGCTCAACATGAACACCAAAAGTGATTGGTTCATAAGACAGTGAATTCTGTTCAGGACAAAGCAAGACCAGAGGTTCAACGCTGCAGGTAATTAGCAGATATTAGATATCTAAGTTCATGCTCAACAGAAGATGTGATGTGCTTAGCACAGTGGGTGTTAGCAAGTGCTTCCTGTCCCCTTCCCTATCCAACCCCAGCCTTGAAAACACTTTCCAGAAAAAAAGAGAGCCCAGTTTAAATTTCAGCCCTTATTCACCTTAGAAGATCACTTCAGACACTGTGCTTTCATTTCCTCATCTCTGAGATAGGAGGGCTGGTCCACGTTACCTCCTCTCCCAAGGTTCTCTAATTCTATGATTCCATCTCTATGGAAAAAACACCTAGCATCCCCAAGTCAGGACAGAGGAGAGCCTTTCCCATGTGACTAACCTGCTAAAGCGGCTTTCCTGCAACCATTTTGTTTGGCTGAAAACAGCGCCCTTGTGTACTTCCATTCCTGAGAAGACCACCAAGAATGGACCACAGTAGTCTCAACATAATGATTATATTTATTATTTTATCACTACATTAGAAATGAAAATAAACTTGTGAGAAGCTGCAAACGCATGCCACTCCATGAAGATTATGGAACAATCAACACATTCACTGTATAAATTTAAAAGTGGCTTATCCTTTGGGGATTCAAGGACTACAAAAACAAAGGTCATTGATGGTGAGATTATTGACAGCATCTGCCAGCTGGAATTTATGCACCAATGGAAGTTTAAAAATGAACTTAAGGGAACATTGGCTACCCCTGACCTCTTAGCCAGGGAGTATGGGTGAAAAGACATCAGAAGACACCTAAAATCTTTACAACACAAAGGTTTACAAAAAACAAGCTTAAAACCAAGACATTCTGGCAGTAGTGAAATTTGATCTTGGGAGGAGATGCCCATTTTACGATGTTTGAACACACTTTTTCTCCTGCTGGATAGCTGGGAAAAAAAAACAAACACAAAAAATCATTAAGAGGGTATTTTCCTACAATTAAGTTCAGTTTCTTCCAAAGGAGCTTTTTGCCAAGTCATTGAAGGCTGCCATAACCTGCTTTAGATTTCGAATGCCAAGGCACTAACCATAAATCTTCAGTCAGGGGTGTGTGTGTGTGTGTGTGTGTGTGTGTGTGTGTGTTAACCAATTGAACGTTCACTAGAATCTACATCAACTGTGTTTTTTCCCATTTGAGAGGTAGATATATGCTGTTACAATTTTTTCCATAAATTATTCTGAGACTGGGAAGCAAGTGAAGTATTTTCTTCATATTTATCTATCACTATATAATCAGGAAGTTATACCCTTTCAAACAATTTTGACTAACTTTGGAACTCTCAAATAACACTGACATGAAAAAAGTACCCCTCAGTTTTGTGAATATGCTTGAAGTTTCTCCCTCAGACTGTAACTCCCAATGCAAAACTGATCTTTTGAGTCTAGGATCCTCGAGCACAACCAAGATCTAAACTTTTTCTTTGCCCTATCTTGTCATAAGGTAGAGAAAGCCAAAAATACAGTTTGTGTGGTTCTTTAGCAATGAGATCATAGACTCAAAGTGCTAGATGCAGAAAATGCCAAATAACCATAAAGTGGACAAAATTAAGATTTTTCTAAGGCTAAATCCCATATTTCAAAACTGGTTGTAATGTGATTTTTAGTAATTTTCCAACAAGAAACTAGTCTTTTATTCCTTCATTACTTCTTGGGTCTATCATGTGAGAACCACTTGTATAAACCAAGTAAGAAGACAACTATTTGATATTTTTAACTGTTGCATTAAATACAGCGGGACTGTAATTATTGCTTACTTTGTGGCATAATTGACTAGAAGAGTTTATTTACTGAACCTATGAATGTTCACCATCGTTTTTCTCTACTAGAAACCCCTTGCCCCATGACTTACTTTCCTTCGAGGGGAGAGTATTTTTTTCTTCAGTATTAGTTTTCTTCAGTTTTGACCTGTCAAACTTCTCCACTTCGGACAAGTCTGGCTTATCACTCATCTTGACTAAAAGAAAGACCGAAAAAAAATTTTTTTTACTTAACTGGCAGAACAGTTATCATACTAAGGAATCACAGCCAAAAATTCTCACATTTAATATCAATGTGTCTTTTACCTGCTGATTTTCATCAAGAAAACAGTACACATCTTAGAAAAGTCATGTTTTTATTAGGATACTTTTTATTCCACATCATTACCCTATTTTGATAGACAATAAATGCCACTGAATCAGAATGCACTAGAAACCAAGGTGGTCTAAAACCCAGAGTCAATGTCTGACTCTTAAAATCACAGCAAAGGTCAAATGGAGGAGACAGAAGCACAAGAGCAGAGAGAGAGAGAGACGAAAAAATAAGGACTGGGTTCAACCAGCTAATGATTTTGTAAAAGGAGATAGCATTATTTGAGCACCTTCACGTTGTACTCAATTACTTTTTGGGGACACTTTTCTTGAGGGGGGTTGAGAGCAGCACACAAAATAGGGTGGCATAAGTTGTATTACTTTCTTTCCATTTTATCTGCCCAAAGACACTAGATTAAGGAGCTACAATAAGAGAGGGAGGGATTTAATCTGGTCATAACTAATTACACCTCTCATAATAGCTCCTTATGGTACTTACAGGTTTGTAAATGCTGTAAGATGGCACAGCTAACTAGGATCAGACCAAAGACTTCAGCAGAAAGGGATAAACCAAATAGAGTGGCTTTTTATTTCACCATGTTCTCTCTGCAAAGGGAGAGGCTAGAAGACGAGGTGCCCTATGACCATTTCGGGTTTGTCCAGAGGAGGAGACAAGAGCAGACCCCAGAGACCGGAAAGCAGGGCTCTCTGCGCGTGCCTGGCCCCGCCCTGGTGGGGTCAGACACCTCTAGTGCCCAGAGTAGGCCGGACAGGCCCCCAAGCAGCCGGAAGTCCCCAGTGTGCCTCTCTTCCGTCGAGGTCACTCTAAAACCCTCCTCTGACAAGCGATCAGACGCCAATCTCCAGAGTTAGGGAAACCAGGACCAATACATAAATAATGACATGGCCGGGTGCATACGCCAGTTTGTCAGAGGTAGTTTTCTTACATTATCAAATCACCATCATCGTCGTCGGGCGCACAGCCTAACCTATCGGCCCCGGGAGGGGAGAGAGCGAAGGGCCAGCCCCAGAGGGCCCATTGCGGGTGCCGCCAAACTCCTCGTCCTCGCAGCCTCGGACAAGCAGCCCCCGCCGACGGGCCGCTCCGGGGGCCGCCCCCTTGGGCCTTCCAGGGACCCACCCGGGAGGCCCGGCGTCGCGCGCAGAAGGCGGCGCCGCGGAAGACAAAGGCGCCGACCCGCCAGGAGGCGCAGATACGAAACGCCAGTCCCAACCCGGCCCTTCCAGTTCCCGAAGGACCGACACCCCCCGGCCCGCGGCCGCTGCGTCCCCTGTCCCCACAGTCCTGGCTCCGGAGGGGCCGCCCGTCCTCACCTGAAGGCTTGAAGACCCGTGAAAGACAGACCCCTGGGCTGAGACGGCGCCGCACACTGAACGAGCCTGCCTTCCCGCGCCGAAGCTCCAGTTCTCTGCCGCGTAGCCGACTCCGCCCCAGACTCCGCCCCAGCCCTCTCCGATTGGCCGAGGGATCCCTGGCCCGCCTCCTCGCCCGTCGCTCCGCTTTAGCCCTGTCGGCCTGAGTCCAGACGGTCTCGCCTCTGCTCAGGACCTCCCCCGCTGCAGCAGGGTCTTGATGACGTCACACCAGACCCGCCTCCCAAGACCGCATCCAAGCCCTCTCTGATTCGCCGAGGGATCCAAATCCAGCTTGCCTCCCTTGCCTCTCCCGCTACTTTCGTCCTGAGGGTCCACTTCCCTTCTGAAGTATACTCGCTCCTCCATGATGATTGGGGCCTCTACCATAAGCAGACCCTTCTTGCCCAGTGAGCTTTCAACGTCTGGAACTCTTGAGATCCAAGCTGAAGGAGCCCTAATCAACCTCTCTGGGCTTTTTTAGCCGTAGGAGCCTAAGTACGCTGTGAAAACCAAACAGTGGTTTGGAAGCGGTGCTCAGTGTTATCTGTTCTAACCCCCGGCCAGGTCATGGAGGAAGGGTGCTCATGGAGAGGGTGGGCGGTTCAGGGTCATTCACCCCCACAGCTGGACAGTTCTGTGACAGTGGTGCTCTCCTACGTAAAAGTCACATTTTCGATTTTCTCAGCCGCCGAACATGGTACTAGTCAGTTTAGGTAATCAGAGGAGCATGTACTGAGGCTATTCATCTTTATTTCCCCAATCCCTACCACTTCTTTTGGCCCACAGGAGATGCTAGATAAATACCTGTCTACCTGTCTGTAGATTGAAGTAATAAGTCCATGATAGAGCAGAATTTTTGGACAGCAGCACCACCCAGTATGTATGTTGGGGGAGAAAAGTGTGGATCTGGTAGTTACTCGAAAGGACTAAATGTTCAAGGTCTTTCTGGATACTCACCCAGGACCTTAGAGCGTTAAGATAAAATGGAGATAGGACTATGTCTTTAGTTTGCACCCCATATTTTCCGTATGGTTCCTGTATGGTGGTAGAGATCTACATAGGTCAGCAATCACTCTCTCCACAAGGATTTCTTCCATTACTTCTGGTTCTTGCCAATCCGAGTCTGGTCTCTTCTTTCTGGGTTCCATTTCCCTAATATTAGACCTCCCTGTATTTGTCTGCCTACTTTCCTGGATCTTCATATCCTACGTGAAGCCAGAGCCACACAGTCTCCTCCCTGGAGGTGTGCTCTGTTTGCTGACCAGAATCCATTCTTGGCTGTTCACAAAACTGACTCTGCTACTCTTAACATTTCTTCATTGACTATGGCAAAGAATATTCCTTGTTTGCCTACTACATCCATCCCATTGCCATACCCTAAATATAACATCAGTTGCTATTTCTATATCTACAAGACAGAGACAACCTTGAAAAAGATATTTTGTTATTGGGTTCTTTGAATTTGGCATATTATTTTATGGAAGAAATACACATTCTATCAAATACATTATGTGGTAAAAAGTAAACATCCCATCTTCTCCCTCCTCTTATCTCACCCCTTGGAGAAACTACAGTTAGTAGTCTATCAGTAGTGGTTTTTAACTCCAACGGCATCTTAATATCACCTGAGGAGTTTTAAAAAATGCTGAGACTGGCCTCTACCCAGTGGTCTGCTGCTAAATGTTTAACAACTTCTCTGCAGAAGAAAAGGCTGATTTGTAGCCTTTGCTGATTTCCATGACATAAATACTCCCACCATGGCCAATTTTAACCTCCCAATGTGAAATAGTGAATTCAATCAGCTGGTAAAATTCCTAAAGATTTTCTAACCAGTTCTCAAGTGCCAGTAGGAGTTGGCTTCAGCAGACCACTGCCTCCACCCCCATCCCATCTCACAATAATTGAATCAGAATCTCTGGGAATTGGTCCAAGGTAAATTTGTCTTATACAGAGAGAGCCCTTGTAAAGTAGTGTTTGGCCCCTAGGTTTGTAACTGGAGTCTACTATTTCATAGCAGGGTAACTTTGAGAAACTACTTCAACTTTCTTCATCTGTAACGTGGGGATATTAATGAAGTACTTAATTCATATGATAATTACAAGGATTAAAAGAATTTATGTATGACACTTAGAACAGTGTCTGGTGTGTTAGCTACTATTATTCTCTCTTAACTCAGTTTCTTCATCTCAACTGGACCTCTTTAAGAGGACTATCCAAACTTGACTCTGGCTACCATTTTTAATGTTAATTTTTGTGTGTATTGGGTTATCCAAAGCAACTCAGGAATTCTGTGTTGGAAAGAATTTAAGATGGGATTAGATGAAGAATTTAGAGTGAGGACAAATAAGAATTTTAATTAAAACTATGACTAAAATTCATAGAACATTGTATTTCATTCCTTACACTAGGCTGAGGTGAAGAGGGTTAATGAACATTTGATCAGCTAGACACATTTCACTGATATTGTGAACCTGGGTTAGAAATGCTAAAGGCGCACTCCCTTAAAGATGCTTTACTCCATGGGTTAGGTACAGATGGTCCCCAACTTACAATGGTTCAATTTTTTGACTATATGACGGTGCCAAAGCGATACACATTTAGTAGAAACCATACTTTGAATTTTGAATTTGATCTTTTCCCAGGCTAGTGGTATGCAGTACGATACTCTCTCATGATGGTAGACAGTGGCAGCGAGCTGCAGCTCCCAGTCAGCCATGTGATCACTGGAGTAAACAACCAATACACTTACAACCATTCTGTACCCATACAACCATTCTGTTTTGCACTTTAGTATAGTATTCAATAAATTACATGAGATATTCAACACTTTTTTGTAAAATAGGCTTTGTATTGGATAATTTTGCCCAATGTAGGCTAATGTAAGTGTTCTGAGCGTGTTTAAGGTAGGCTAGGCTAAGCTATGATGTTCGGTAGGTTAAGTGTATTAAATGAATTTTAAACTTGTGATATTTTCATCTTATAATGGGTTTATTGGGATGTAATTCCATCGTAAGTCGAGGAAGATCTGTACAAGTTTAGGCTTTGATGAATACTGAAGGCATAAATGAATACCTTGAAATGAATTTCTGAAGTACAGATTAAGGTTTCATATTTACTGCTCATATCATTAAAAAGCTTAATCTCTTAAGAAAACTTCATTCACTTTAAATAAAGACATTTTAGAGCCCAAAGTCACCTTTGAGATAATTCTCTACTCACTTAATAGTCAAGGACTTGTTGCTAATTAGGTCTGAGGTGTAAGCAAGTTCTGAACGAGCCCATGGAATTTTCTCAAATATTCTTACGCTTCCAGTTTTTCCCTCCATCAACTGAGCTTTCTGAATGGATTTTTAAAATTTGCTGAAAATTGCTGATAACCACACTCTGAACAAAGGGAGACTTAGTGAACAGGAAAATAAAGGAAAAATAATAGAAGATTATTTCTAAATAGCATCACTGAACCAGCTTGGAAATGCCCTCCTGCAGCAACGTAGCTTATGAAATTTATGTAGGATTCAACTCCAAAGCAAGTTGTGCTCAGTGTTAAGTAATAATGAAAGATCCAGTTTGTACAGATGATCCACATCCCCACAGCTCTTTTAGACTGAAAACTGTTTACAGTGGAAGAAGTAGGATAAAATCACTGTGTGGGCTAGTTAACAGAGCAGCAATTATGCTCCCAGCCTTGGACATTTTACTCTGTGATTTAAAAATCAGGATTTTCATCTTCTTAAAAGTATTTTTAAAGTCCAAAATGATGTGACATATCAGGGAGAGAAAGGAAGAGAACCAACATTTTTTAAAAGTTCTTATTTCACACAGGGTACTGTGGGTAGTAGTTTCCACATGCTCTCACATGAAGCCTCATGACAATTATGGAAGCTAGGTTTTGTAATTCATTAAAGTCTTAGGATTAATACTCCATGAAACTGTTTTACATACTTCGATCTGACTCCAAAACTCTTGGCCAATATTATTATACCCAGGCTGCTTATGGAAATGCAGGATGAATGCAGTATTTCTATAAGGGCATTACCTGTTTAGGTATCTGCCTTGTGCATGCTTTTGTAAG